TTCCCCTCCTCACCTAATCCCTTTGGCTGATTGCTCTTCTCTTTGGCTTCCTGGGTTTTACCCCTTTCTCCTGCTCTTCCAGCCTGCTACTCTGTGCTACGCCCGTAAAGTAGATAGTCAGCAAAAAAGAGGAAGACGACAATGGCTGCAATAAAGGGCTCAAATGGTACAGGGCTGTGTAGTGTTTAATTTTATTGTACATGGGGTCACTATTAGTCGGAACTGACTTGACAGCACCTAACAACAAAAAGTTTGTGTTGTAAATTTTTTACACACATTAATTAATTTACCAATTTTATAAATAAATGGAGATAATCAGACATGATAAGGGATTATAGTGAGGTAGCATATCTAGAGCAGTTTACATTTTGAAAAAATGAATCAGAGTCTTCATTAACTAGGATATTCTTCAGGATTCAAGTATTTGTTGTTATATATTTTAAGAAATTATTTTCAGTATAATCTTAAATCAATAACTTTGCACAAATGGAAACTTTATAAACAGAAATGTTTCTTGATCAATCAATTTTACCAAACTAGACAAAAAGTGTTTTCAAACTACGCCAAAACAATCATATATTTTTGGTTCTCGTCCACCTAATACTGGAATGTCATCAGTTAATAACATGAGAAATGCCAGAGGATATAAAACACAAATTGTAAGCAATGCTGTTTTAATAAGTACATGAGCAAATGTCTTCTAAATATTTATATAAAACATAGAATACATGTATACATTTAGGGGGACATACCTTTGATATCATTTTTCTCTAAGTCTTTTAGTGCCTGAATGAATGTCAGCTGACTTTCGGTAAGTGGCCAACTATTATACAGCACCAAACACTGTATAATATACTTGTAAATCTGTGAAATGAAACGCAAGCTTAAGAACAAGTCAACAAAATAAACATAGAATACACCGAAAGCACTGAGTCTTACAAATTTTGTAAAGTCTTTTTTGATGTTCTTTTTAACTCAAGGATAATTGAGTATATATTATTTAGTTTCCAAATTTACAGAATTTTAAGCTGTTAATTATTAACTTCTAATTTATTGCATCATGTTTATATAACATTGTCTATACATAGTTTGGATTTCATGACACATTCATTTGCTGCCTAGTACATGATCTTTATTTTGAAAAACATCTGGTATGTGCTAAAAAGCAGCAGCATATTCTCTGTTATTAGGTAAAGAGTTCTGTAAAGAAATCTAAAGAATTAAGAACATACTTCAATTTTTCAAATCCTCATGATGATACCTTGGTTTTGCCTTCTTTATTTACGGCTTGCTTTATCAGTTCCTGAGAAGCATATATTAAAGTTTTCAACTCTACTTGTTGACATCTATTGTCCTTGTCATTTTCATAGTTTTTGCTTTTTATTTATTGAGGCTAGGTAGTCAGGTACCAATAGGTTGTTATGTTGTTGTTATGTGCCATCGAGTCAGACCCGACTCATAGCGACCCCTCCTTGGGTTTCCGAGGCATTATCACTATGGAAGTAGATTGCCCAGCCTTCCTTCTGAGGAGTGGCTGGTGGGTTTGAACCTCCAGCCTTCTGGTTAGCAGTCAAATGCCTTAGAACTATGCTACCAAGGCTCCCACGTACAGGTTAGTGATGGTGATATCTACTGGATTGCACCTTCCTTTTAGTTTTATATAATATCCCTCATGTATTCTACATATTAAGATATTAAGATTATTTTCACATCTCTCTCTTGGCTACTATGTCATGTATGCCTTTCTATCTTTTCATATTCAAACTTTCTGTGTTATTTCCTTTAAAAGCATAACTTTTAGACTCCATATGGTTGGATCTTATTTGTTATCTACTCTGAAATTTTTATATTTATTTATTTATTTATTTGATTTATTGTGATTTGGGTGAAGATTTACAGAGCAAATTCACTTTCCATACAGCAGTTCACATATACTTTGTCTCACATCATTGACCACAGTTTACCACAATGCAACAGCTCCCCTCCCACTTCCTCCCCATAGTTACCTCTTCCCAATGACCAACC